GTAACGCCATAAGTTACAGCGTGCCGTAATTTTGCGGTATTTTACAGGGTATTTTCATACTACCATATTAGGAAATGCGAATTCCAAATATGGAATTACGTGCGTAAGCGTCCTCTAATAATAAAAACAAACATGGCTGCCATCAGGATTTGACCGGACTCCACACAAATAAGTTCGCTGATTCTGTTCTAAACTTTTTGGATTTCGGCATTCCCATGATGTATCCTTGAAAGGAAAAGATGTATAATAATAAGGTTATTACAAAGATACCTGAAAGTATGCACTCAGACAGTACGCTGTCGCATCGACCTCCGCTGCGCGTCGGTCAATACTGCCGCTGTACTGTCTTCGTGCATACTTTCAGGTATCTTCGTAATAACCTTATAATATTATGATGGGGAACCTTTTACCAGTTCAGTCTGGAAAAACCTTGTCTAATTAAACACAAACAGAACAACAAATTACAGCATTATAATGACATAAGTGGTGAAAACATCCAGGGTTATGAAAAGGTTTGTAATTCTTAATAACCTCCTGCTATGCATATACATGGACACACTATTTACTGCATAACAATCCAAATATTACAGTTGCTAGATATCAATCAATTTAATTATCCGTAGTTGGCAATAATTAGTCGTTATAAATAAATGTCATTTTGCTCAATTTGAGTCGGATACCCAGAATTTTGGGAACCAATTGGTTTATTTAAAAGAAACCAAAATACTAATATTTTGTAAATTCCTAGTAACGGTAGTCAAAATAAGTTACTAATTTTGGAAAATGGTAATCAGGAAAAGATTTGGCACGCAATTTACGTATATTTAGTTAATCTTGTAACTAATTTGGTTGCTATGTCTAACTTCTGTGGTTGCTAGGTATAACCAAATTTCCAAGTAATTATAAGCGAAATTGAACCTACTAAAAATACTTCAAGTGAATCAATATAAATGCCAGTCATAAACATAAGGTACTTAATCTGAGAATAAATATTTGTAATCCAACTAGACTAAAATTACATAGCAAATATTATGAAAGCAATTTAGATAAAAAATAATATTGACTTGTAGGTGGGTATAAGCAAGTATTAGATAAATAGGGATAAACTAACAATTTAATCAGTAAACACAATGTTTTGAGTATACATACCATGGACAGTATATTGCTTTAATAGTCCTGTTCTGGCTACATCAAATACGGGCCACATTCCCTCTCATAGTGAGACTATATACGGGCTGAGATTTGCATATTAGTCACAAATGCATTTATGCAAATGCAAAACAGCAGAGTTAAGAAATGCTCAAATTTGTTATATAAAGATAAACAAGTCTTCAGTCATTTTAACTATGATTACTCAGTACATTACCTAGGAAGATATACATGTTCGTTCACCATGGTTCCATGGTAGTTATAAAACAATACCAAAACAAATTCAGAAAGTGCAGATTGCAGAATAATAGGAAATAGTCTCATCGCCATTTTTTTTTGAAAATAATGTCTCTTGATGTGCTCATGTTGTTTGTCATGTATGGAAATTGCATACCGAAATGAAAAGGTATGAACACGTAAAATCAGGCAAAATTAGTAAATCTTCCAAACGAACATTGAATACAATATAGTTTTAATCGCTTAGCCTAAGCTAAAAAGATGTTTTAAGGATTTGCTGTGCCACCCTTCCGAATCTTTTATTAATTTTTGTCTAGGATGGGGAAATAAAAGTTTACTGGTCTAGGATAGAAAAAGATTTTTAAATTTTTATAATTTATCCTTGAAAATTACTGTAAAATCTGTATTAGATAATTGTTTACAGTATTTTATAATTTATAGATAAATCACCATGTCGGTTTGCTTGATTGGGTGTGTTGTGTGGATAGTATTGTGGTAATAAGACAAATATTTAAATCACCATGTCGGTTTGCTTGATTGGGTGTGTTGTGTGGATAGTATTGTGGTAATAAGACAAATATTTAAATCACCATGTCGGTTTGCTTGATTGGGTGTGTTGTGTGGATAGTATTGTGGTAATAAGACAAATATTTAAAGAACAAATATTTGCCCAAACATGTTTCAATAACATAAATCAAGTTTCTCTTGAAATTATTATTGAAATTATTTTTTGTGTCAGGTATACAACTGATAATTAGGGCAAGAGTTCGTCAGCGTCCCCTCACCCACAACTCTAATCCTAACCCTGCCAATCCAGTACTCCTCCATTTCAATTCTATATACTGTAAAATATTTTATTTTTTAAAAATAAAATATCTTAATCTATTCAATAATCTTTCTGGAATTATTTATTGAGGCAAAAGTATTTGTTATCATGCTAATTACCTGATGAATATGAATATGTTATTAATATCACCTTGCAGGAATACACGAATTGATAAGGCTAATACTGTAAAATCTTTATTTGAAGTCGTGGCTTTTATTAGAATGGTACAATGCAACAGAGGGGATGCAGCTTCTATTAGAGCATCTACACTTATGAGAAATGATGAATTTTTGATTCTCAATTATTCAAAAATAATGGGTGCGACTTCTACTAGAGATGCGACTTCTTATACAGATTTTACAGTACAATGTACCATCCAACAGATCAAAAACTCTGATGTGAACAATTTTCAGTGAATACAAATGACTCAGTTTTCTAGTATGTATCTGTTTAAAAGCTTAGTACACAGTACCTCTATCATAGACAGACTGTGCAAACGAGGTTACGTCATTATTTGACAGGAAAGCAAATATTGTACGCCCTGCTTTTACAAATGCAATTATTAGATAGTCTGTGCCAGCTGTGCGTTACAGTGAATTTCATAAAGACATGAATTATGTAGAAATTTATGAAATATTTATAAAATTTGTACTTTGAAAAACCTTCGCACTACATTCAAAATATACTTTTATTGGTTGTGGAAGCCATTTGTAGGCTTTCTTCAATGATTGGCCGAAATACTGGCATCTGTTAACATATGATTGGTCTGCTGGTATTCAACCAACATTTAAAATTGATAAAATATCCACAAATATTTAATATGAAAAACATTCATGGTTTTTATGAAATTTACTGTAAAGCCAATATTCAGCCAAAACTTTATTTCAATTAATTGTTCTGCTGTCATGTGACAAAATATACAGTAGGCACATTTTTATGTGTGTAGTCTCTATATGGTATTATTACCACAGATATCTGGTATTCAGATAATTGGGTTTATAATTAACCCATGTTGTTGGACATATTTTGACTGATTTTACATATTTTTTCATAATTTTTTTGATAATTTTGGACTAAATAGACACAATTTCCTATTAGCTATAGGTTTTGATCAATAAATTATAAAAAAA